TTTTTTAATAAATTAAAAAATACCAAAAATATCTCAACCGTTTGATCTAATAGTGTTTAGATCTGAGCCTTTGATTTCTTAGGATACAATAGGCTTTACCACACCAGATTAAAACCCAAATCAATCTCAGCCGTTCAAATAATCTGCCCTTCGATCTGGTTGCGCCACGTCAGCAGGTATACCGAGAACTCGGTACACCGCGCCGCACCAGATCGTAGCCCATTCAATCCTGACCGCCCGATCAACTTGGAGATCAAACGAATCACAGCCGCACGATCTATTCATCCAAGATCCAGCGGTTCACAGCCTTCCGACGCATGAGGGCACCATACACGCGTCCACACCAGATCAACACTCAGAGCTTCTCTCTCCTCTCGCCGGCGATTCTCTCTCTCCACGGATCTCCCATTTCCGGCCGTCTCAAGCCGTGAAACCACCGCAGAATTGTGCATCGCCTCCCCCTGAGCAAAACCCCGTCCTTTTCACACTTTTTCACCGGCTAATTTGGCCGGAAAAAGGCCGTGACCGACATCGACCAAACGACCTTCAAGTCGTCGATTCTCCCTCCTCAGCCATCAACGGACAACGAGACCACCACCATCAGAATCCTCGTCCTCAGATCTACCAGAATCGACTATCTTTTTCCGGAAACTCGCCGGAAAATTTCGGCGTGAACAGTACCAGCGCGTGAACAGTACCAGCGCGTGAACAGTAACCGCGGGTCCAGTGGCATTTTCGTAAATTTTCGATAAATCCGAGGGTATTTCAGTCTTTTGCCTATACAGGGGTGCTCAGGTAATTTTTTATGATATTTTATTGTATTTTTTGATATTTTTATATATAAATACTTGTAAATCCTTGCATAAAAAAAAAAAAACAAAAGAAAACCAAAATAAATAACAACGCGGGTTTAACACCTATTTTATCATATCACTGTTCATAGGTCAAAAACCCAATTTTCAAGAATTGATATATCTATTTGTGAATGATATCAAAATAATTTTTATTTTATAAAATAAATTTTCTCGACACGTCTCTTTTATTTATAGAAAAGGACCGATGTCAAAAATTTAAATACCAAATATGGATTGTGTCCATTATTATTTATTTTGATAAATCAGACGTAACTCTCCTTTTTAGGGATAAACGTCGATATTTTAGACAAAGTCTCCTAATTTTAGGGACTGATGTCATTTTTAACGCGTCTCCTATTTTTAGGGACCGACGTTAAATATGTTAAAAATTTACAGATAAGCTCAAAATATAATAGCATTTGAATCAAAATAAGAAAAACACACAAATAAAGGTAACCTTTCTCTGAAAGGATGTTTTAAGGGTGGTGTCTACCTTCCCTTAATCATAACTAACCCAGTATCCGAATCTCTGGGACCAGTGTCTAATTTTGGATTTCTAGTTCCCTCAAATTACTAGATGGCGACTCCAAATAAAATCTTTATTTCCCCCCAATCAAATAAAAAATTAAATTCCTTTTGTTTAAAAAACAAAAAAAAGTTAAGAGTTTATACTATACTTGTTTGATATACCATTAGTGGAACCTCTAACCTTGACATTTGTTATTATTATTGTTTAATCCTTACATTAATTTTCCATCTCCAAGTTCTCATCAGTCGTGTAGCGACAATTATTATTATTATTATTATTATTACTACTACTACTACTACTACTACTACTACTACTACTACTACTATTATTATTATTATTATTATTATTACTATTGTTGTTGTTGTTATTGTTGTTTTATTATTGTTATTTATAATTTGTACAAATAACCTCCCTGTGGTTCGACCCCGGTCTTGCCGGGTTATTTATTACTTCGACACTCCTGCACTTGGGAGAAGACATCAATCTTTTCGTCGTGTCACCATTGTCGTGTGTACATATTGTTTTCTTCACGAATTCCCTAGCAGATTTTTTTCTCAACATGAGAAATTTGGAGCTTAAGACTTATTCCACCAACGTGTAAATGCTAAGACGAGTTCACGAGAAACAGAGTTAAATATGGCGTCTGGATTCAATGCGTCAAAATTCTAATTCAACCGACCACTTCAAAGGTGGGCAGAGAAGGGTTCCTGATGGCGATTTTTAGCATCTTTTCTTGTGCTAAAGGAAACCAAGGCTGCCAGCTCCACTCTCTTTCTCAATGCGTCACTTTTTTTTTCCCTCTTCCGGGAATACAACAAGGGCATCAATTCTGTCAAAAAGTCGCCAAAATTTTTAATCTTCAGTTTTTGTACAATTCTATTGAAATCATCATGCTTTAGGCAAAAAAATATCTCATTAGTTCGAACGAGAATCATTCTAATTTCACAAAAAAGACACTTTACAGGGAATCAAGAACAAATCTAAAGGAGTACATGAAAATACTGTTTATACACACACAAGTCATTATGGATTCGCACTGGTTTTTTATCCTCGGAATTTTTAGTATTTAATTGTTATTTTTGTTCATGTAGTCCTTCGATATTAATCCTTTGATAGTATTCCCGTTCACTCTTAAGAAACTGTTTGTCGGGCTTTTAGCAATGGAAAGCACTGTTATGCAGGCAATTCACGAAGAAGAGGCTGTAGCAGCGTGGACTTTCCTCAGTTCCGTCCGAGCAAGTTATCCATCATATCTTGTCCTTATTACCAACAAAGGAAGCTGCAAGGACATAATTCTTGCAAAGGAGATGAGAGGCTATCTGGCAAATACAATAATCTAAAATACTCTCCTATCTATAATGGTGTGTCCAAGAGGAAAAATGGAATCCTAATGCAATTGACAAATGCAATGTTGATAGCGTCAAGTGCTCCTTCAAATCTTTGAGGTGAAGTAATTTTGATTGCATATATACGTACCATGTGCCACAAAATGACACCATTTAAATTATGAAAGGATTATAATTTAGGGATGTTTAGTCTATCTGAGGTTAACCGATTTTAAAATACCTAAACTAGATATCATAGTTGTGACACTTGTGTTTTTTTTAATTTGGGTTATGCATTCCACAATATATAAAACCTATAAAATTTTAGACATTGAAAACGATGAGATTATTTAGTGAGATAATTTTAATTAGTCGTAATTTAAAAATTGACAAAATAGATGTTAAAACTATGGTTCTAAAAGAAGAAATTTATATAAATCAACATGACGACAATATAATGTCTACAAGACAAATGAATATGACAATTAGTGCATTTATTATAATACTCTGAAAAATATTAAGGAAACATAGTTTCTTGTGATTCTAATATCCATTTATTAACTATTGAGAAAGATGATGACACTGTAGTAAATAGCATTGATAAGGCATTGAGAGATGAATGAAATACTTGCTTGCTTTTTAGAAGTTAATCTTCTAAAATAATAACTTGTGGAATTTAAGATATATGCTAAATTGAAAAATTCAATTCTTAATCACTTTATTATTGAAGGACAAAATCTGAAAAAAATTAATTCAAAAAACTTATCAAAGCAGAAAAATAACAATAAAAGGAATGGAGACTAAGCCCAATAGGGGAAAAAAAATAAAGGAGGATGAAACCATAAAAAAATTAATTTTATAAATTATTCTAAATAAAAAAATAATAAAAAAATGAAGATCAAATATAAAAGATGAAAAAATTGAAGGAGAATGAAATTAAAAATAATTCCCAATTTGAAATAATTGTTTCAAATAAAAAAATTATAATTAAAAGATCTTGGACTTAATCTAAAAGGAAAATAAATTGAAGAGATGTTGTAAATTGTTTATAGGGCCACAATGAAAATTGAGATGAAAAAGAAAGAAATGAAGGAAAAAAAAAATCAAATCAGGGCCAAACTAAACTAAATCACCATGCACACACTATCTAGAAAGGATGAGGATACTAAAAGAAATCAAATGACATGGATGAAGAATGGTTTGGACAACTAGAGTTAGCTGAATATTTGGCTAAAGGCGACTTTTTCATTTATTTTATTTATTAAATTACCACATTTCTTCCAAGATTAAATATAATTATTACAAAAAACCTTTATAAAATTATAGAAAAACCAGTAAAGGCATGCTAAAATAATTTTGATTCCAAGAGAAATTTAACTATTATATTGTTATTTAATATTAGAGAATAATATAAATCATATCTTGGAACCTCACCTAACAACTTAAGCTTTTGGGTTGAGATGATTATTAGATATAGTATCAAAGTTTTAATTACCAAGTAGTCACGAGATTGAGTCTCATCATCTTCATTTATTTGATAAAAAATTAAACATAAGATAATGTGAGTCTGTGCAAGTTTCAAGCTCAAAAAACTTTCATTTTAAGAGATGTGTTAAAAAATAATATAAATCATATCTTAAAATCTCACCTAATAACTTAATCTTTTGAGTTGACATGATTATTTGAGATTTAAAAAGTAAAAAACTAATTTTTTTTTCCTAGACCATAATGAAAAATCCAAATACCATTTAATAATTTTGAAATGGAAAATGTATTTTGCCCCCAGGCCACTGAAACCATTTTTTCCATGATGAACAAAGGCGTAACTTCACTGTTTCAATTCACAACGAATCACGTGTTTGCTAAATAGTTTTACCATACAGATTAGGGTTTTTTTTTTTTAATTCACCGTAGATCACATATATCGATTGGCTATGGTGCCGATCAAGCTAGCAGGCTTTGATGGGTGACGTGTTGCTGAGGTGCCATATAAAAGGCTTTTCTTGTAGCTTACGTGAAACCTAACAAACCAACATGCAATTCTCTTTGTGTTTCAACGTTAATTATTCACGTTTCTAACCCAAGATTTTGAGGGCAAAGTCTTGGAAGTCACCTTGGCCAAAATTCCAGACACGCAGTGGCCTTCAAATTAGATTAATGGCAACGTACGACTTGGACTTTGAGATTGTCTTAGTTCTCAGTTTTCCACAAATTCGAAGAATTCTCGTGAGGATTCACGGGGCGGGCGGACCTAGCTTAAGCTGCAGGTGCCATGAAACCTCCAAACCTCACAAGATTCTCTACCCTTTAGTTTAATACATCTTGCCATGGCATTAATCCCCAAACCATCTCAGTCAACCCATGCCCCCCAACCTAGAAATTCTAGTTCCCACCCTTGTATGATTATTATATATAAACACACACACACACACACCTATGTTCTCATCGAATGTGTATTACAAGAACAATGGCTTCAAAGAAATTTTTGTGTTTTTGGAACGCTTTCTTGATTGTTATACTTCTTTTCTCTTCTGCAATGGGATCAAGGGATCTGTCAGAGATTGCCAGGCCTCGTATGATTCGTAAGTCGCACCTGCGCGCATTCTTAATTTCTTGGTTCTTCAGAATGTTGCGAGTTTTTAATTCTATAATAGAAGCTAAATCGAAAGATGAGTTTATTTGAACATCTTGCATCTTCATAACAATTCTGAATAGAGATATTTAATTAGCTTAATCATCAAAGAAAAAGAAAAGAAAAGGGATATTTAGCTAATTACCTTTTAAAAGAGGACCAGAGAAAATCTTTTCTTTTTATAAGGATTAATTCTTCAGAATGGTCACTTAATTCATATGATTCCAACAGTGTGCTTAGGTTATTCATACGGCATTTAAGCCCAGATGACTCTATGTAATCTACTTCCACATATTAGGGCTAACTAAATTTCTTAAGTGCCCGAAGGCATAAACGCAAGCATACCAGTACCATATATTATCTCTGTTATAAACTCTTCTTTTGCCTTACTTACTCCATTGTTATTTGTTTGAAAAATAAATTATGTATCTCTGAGGTCCTCAAAGGAAATGAACTATGTTATTGCATAATTAATTTCCTTGTGTTCATGTAGTTGATGAGAAGGCTACTAGCACTCAAAGGGGTCCTGCATTGGACGGCCATTATAGGGTTGCTCCCCGCAACGGCTAATTAGCTGAATTTCATGACATCTTTTATTGCGTACACAATAACGGAAATATTTAATAGTTTAATATTGTAATATATGCATCTACAGTCAATAAATTTCTGTACGCATTAGTAAGCGTTGCTACCTTGCTATCCTGATTTTTGCCTGGCGTTATGGTGAAGCGTGGAGGCTGATATCAAAAGTTCGTGCTGCTGAAAGTTACTGTTACTATTAGCTGTACCTTTGATTAAGTTGTACTCCTTTTGGATAGCTTTACATCTTCTTGTAGCTGGCAAGAGAGAAATAAAGGAGACGAAGATAAAGTATCTTTTATTTTATTATGAAGAGTTTCAATAGATTTCTGTAATTCCATATAAGATTTATCACTGAAAATATCGATATACGTGAGAACACTTTACATGCCAACTTCTTAGAAATTAACCTTCACATTCTCAATCGATGATGCTAGCTTATCACGAAATTGAAAAAACAAGAATGCCACCGTATATTAATAACGACAGTCGCCTCTAGCAGTAGCACCATCAACAATCAGCGCTAGCAAAGGCACCATCAATAGCCATCAGCAACACCATCACCACCGCCACCTCCACCACCAACCTCCTCCCCCTTGCATCCTCACAGCACTGCTTTCCTACCATCAAATTTAATACTCTCTCCTAATTAAGAAACCCCATGAATGAAAATCGGAAACACAAACAAATGAGGTGGTCGTCTCTCTCTCTCACTCGTATTGTTGCAAGAGCAAAATAGAAGAAAATAAAATAAAACTTTACGAAGAATAGAGGCTGAGTCTTGCCACTTTGAACATATTAGTTGAGATTGGAAATTTAGTAATGGCCTCTTTTACTAGCTCTTCCACTCAACTCTTGGAAAAGGTAGTTTTTGTGATTCACTTCTACAAAAAAAAAAATTTTAAAAATTATTTTTAATTATAATTGTTTTGATTAAAATACGTGTTTGATTTAAATTATGATTTAACAAAAAATATGTCCAAAATATTTAGTTAAAATAATTGGTGAAATTGATATTGATAATAAAATGATCTAAAAAAACATGTATTAATTTTTTATTTTACAATATATTAATGTGCATTTCATTATTAATATATTGTAAACAAGACTAATTTTATTGTCCTATTAAACTTCTCAAACATAATCCATATAAGAATACCTCTGGTTTCTATAAAGTTGTGAACATGGAATTATATAAATTAAAAAAATTAATAGGAGGGATTAAATTATGTAAATAATTGTTGAGAATTAAAACATTTATATATTTTTATCAGATGCAAAAACTTGGGTCTCATCAAATTTTTAATTTATGCAAAAATTAGCTAGCATTGATTTTTTGATTAGTTCAAATAAAAATAAGGTTATTTTGGTCTTATGAATAATAAATTCAATAATATAAATACAATTTAATGAAAAGCAGAGGAAAAACATAACAAAAATATTTAGAAGGAGCTTCTCAAAAACTGAATTCAAAACTCATGGTTAAATAGTAAAACAAATGCTAAATCATAGCGAAACGGGCTCAAAATCAAATTGAAAAGAAAGAGAGAATTAAGTTTGAGAAATTCAAAGAAAAGGAAAGGACAAAGCGACAATTAAAAAATTAAGTTTAGTTGAATATTCAAATCAAAGAAAATGAAAATTAAATCCATACCTTCTCTCAATCCCAATCAATTAATTAAATCGAAGCTCTAAATTAATATTATCACTCTCATTGTATATGCTTCACTACAATCTTTCCCCCTCAAATTACATGATGGTCTGCAATTTATATTTATATTTATATTTATACAGCTATATATTTTCATCCCTTCTTTACTGCTTTTCGTACAATGGTAATTAGTATTCTTATAGAAAAAAAAAAACCTTAAATATCTATATATCACCAATATTCTTTATATCCACTGAACTTGCATTTGTTTTATAATACAAAGTAATTATCACCTTCTCATTTGTTAAGTCTTAAATAAATATATGTGAAACCTACTTCTATTTGTATTTATTATAAGTTAGTTTCTTTCTCTCACAAGTTAAGCACTGGTTATATCCTGTTTAGTTGTCCAGTAAATTTATTTTTAGATTATATTTTTTTAGAGTTTTTTTCTTTAAATATTTCTAATAAAATTTTAATTTTTTTACTTCACTTCATATTAATATTTTTAGAGATGTTTTAATATGAAAAATAAAATTTAAAAATAAAATAATTATTATTTTAATATATTTTTAAATAAAAAATATTTTAAAATACAACCTCCTAATTCTGAACCGCCTCTAAAGTCCTTTTAAGTGGCGTAAAGCAATTTTTGGATGCCCACATAGTTGGCATTGAATTTGTCAAATGGGTTGGCTGGTCAAACTCTTTGTCGTAGCCCTCCAAGATTCAGGGCTGCTACTTGCCATAGGCGAGGAGCTAAACACGGCAGCCTTTGTTACAATGGCCCGAGGAAGTTTTGTTTCTCTGGCAATTTTAATTGACTGGGTATTTTGCTGCTATTTTGCAGCAAAGCAAGTTTAGCTTCAAATGCAGAAGCCGAGGCCTTGCTCAGATGGAAAGATAGTCTTGGAAACCAATCCATTCTCCAGTCGTGGGACGCCCCAGCAAATGCCAATTCAAGTACCCTTAGTCCATGCCAGTGGCGTGGAATAACTTGAGATAACGCAGGAAATGTAACTCAAATAAAATAAATCTTCCAAACGTGGGCTTGACAGGTACCCTGCAATACTTGGATTTCTCTTCTTTAACAAATATTCTTCGACTTGACCTTAGAGAAAATCAACTTACAGGAACCATTCCATCTAGCATTGGTAGTCTTTACAAACTCCAATATCTGATCTTGCCACAAATTTTCTTTATGGTACTCTACCTCTTTCTCTTGCTAATCTTACTCAGGCTTATGAGCTCGACTTTTCCCGAAACAACATCACTGGCATAATAGACCCACGGCTATTCCCTGATGGGTCAGCCGCGAACAAAACTGGCCTTGTTAGCCTAAAAAATTCCTCCTTCAAACCACTGGGCTTGAAGGTCGAATTCCTGAAGAAATAGGAAATTGGAAATTGGAAATTGTAAATTTCTGTCCCTTCTAGCTCTAGATGAGAATCGTTTTCACGGACCTATCCCTTCATCTTTAGGTAACTGGAGTGAGTTGGCCGTTCTACGGCTTTCCAACAATCTTCTTTCAGGAAACATCCCACCAAATATAGGTACTTTGAGCAAGTTAACTGACTTGCGCTTGCTCACGAACCAATCGTCTGGTTTCGTGCCTGCAGAATTAGGCAACCTTTCATCATTAACTGTTCTACACCTGGCCGAGAATAAATTCACAGGCCATTTGCCGCAGCAAGTGTGCCAAGGTGGAAAACTTGTCAACTTCAGCGCCGCCTTTAACAATTTCTCCGGTCCAATCCCGGTAAGCCTAAAAAATTACCGCACCTTGTATAGAGTTAGGCTTGAACACAACCGCCGGGGTTTCTAGGACAAGATTTTGGAGGGTATCCAAACCTCACTTATATTGACCTAAGTTTCAACAGGGTAAGAGGCGAGCTGTCACCCAAATGGGGAGAGTGCAAGAACCTGACTGTTCTGAGAGTTGCTGGAAACTTGCTTGGTGGTAAAATCCCTGATGAGGTTGTTCTGCTAAACCAACTAAGAGTGATTGACCTCTCTTCAAATCAAATTTTTGGTGAGTTGCCAGCACAACTTGGAAAATTGTCCAACCTCTTGGTTCTAAATCTGAAAGATAGCATGGTTTCAGGATAGGTACCAGTGGGAATTGACGGCCTGTCCAGCTTGGAGAATCTAGATCTCTCTTTGAACATGCTAAGCGGGCCAATTCCATATCAAATCGGAGAATGCTCTAAACTTCAATTTTTAAGCTTGGGCATGAATAGGTTAAACGGGACAATCCCCTATCAAATCGGAAATCTTGTAGGTTTACATGACTTACTAGATCTGGGCTATAATTTGCTTTCTGGAGGGTGTTGTGTGTGGTCCCACACCATGTGATGGTGGGACCACCACATTAATTTTCAAGTGATAGCTGTCTCTTGGTATTAATAGTAATGTGGTTCGGGTACTGTAGCGGCAGAATTAAAAATAGAAGAGAGGAGAAGAAAACCAAAAGAGAAAAGGAGAAGAATAGGCAGCAGAGCAGCTTGCATTCTTCCTTCGATTTCCAGCTCGTTCACCGTTGGATTGGGCTGAGATTTTAACAGCAGCTTCTAGACACGTTGATCTTTATTCTAACGGTCGGATCGAAGATTGGTGGTGTGGAAGGTGACTGTTTTGACAGAAAACGGGGCTATCAGTATTGTGAGTTTTTCTCAAATAATTCTCCTTTAATCTTGTTGTAATCCGAGAATAAGTTGTTCTTGATGATATATATGTTGTATCCCTTAGTTGAATCTGAGGAAGAATGATTGTGAACCCATTATTTGTTGATAGTGGAAGTTTTTAGGTGGACTACGGTCCCGTGGTTTTTCTCGCATTAGGTTTTCCATGTTAAAATCTTAGTGTTGATTTTGTGATTAGTTTCATTATATTTTATCATTGTTTGATTCTGTTTTACTACACAAAGAGGGAAAGAATTGGGACTTGTGAATTGTGAATTGTATTCTGCTAAATTGATCCGGGTAAATTGGTGTTCGGTTGTTCCTAGTTTTCCCATGTAAGTGGTATCAGAGCCTGATTGTGTAGATTGAATTTCTTGTGCAGTTAAAATGGAAAAGGAAGATTCGGGCATGATAAAGCTTACTTCCTCAAACAATGATGGAAGATCACTTATATTGTAATAATTTGGCTTTGCTGATTGAATGTAAAGGAATAAAGCCTGATGATATGGATGATGCAAAATGGAATGGGCTAAATAGAAAGGCTATTGCTAATGTTAGAAAATGGGTATTTTCTAAGTCCATTAATCATATCTCTCAAGAACATGATTGCTATACAGTTTGGAAGATGTTGGAAGAAACATTTGTTAAGGAGAGTGCACAAAACAAGGTTTTTGTAATTAAAGACCTTATGAATTTGAAGTATAGAGATGATAAAGATGCTTCAGTGCATACAAATATATTCCAAGGGTTCTTGAATCAGTTGTCATTGATAAATCTGGAGTTAGCCGATGAAATGCAAGCATTAATCTTACTGAGTTCATTGCCGGATAGTTGGGAGACTTTGGTGGTGTCACTTAGCAATTCTACTCCGAATGGGAAGATCACTTTGAAAACAGTGAAGGATTGTATCCTCAATGAAGAGAAGAGAAGGAAAAGTACAAGCACTTCCGAGTCTCATGTACATGTTACAGAAAGTCGAGGGAGAAGTCCAAGTAGGTT